CGAGGGACGAGCCCAAGTACAACGCATCGGCGCGCGTTTTTCGGTCACGAGCCGGTGCGTCGGGCGACGTAGCAGAACCTTGGCCATGCCGAGGGTTGCGATGATATTGATAAGGTCGTCGGTTTTTGCTACGGTATCGATCGAAATGATGCCAGAGAAAAACCACGGTTCGGCCGGTTATTCAACGCAGATCCGCCTTTTTTCGCGGAAAATGCCGAAAAATCCAGATCAAGTATCTCGTTATACTTTGATAAGGAGTCGATCCCCCTAAACACTCTTAATCGTCCAATCCTGGTCAATTGTGTCTCACTGGTCCCCGTCGCGAGCGGTTGCGATGCGGTTCATATGCATGCCACCTGGCCAATCAACAGTAACGCTCGGATACCGAACGGGCGAAATGAACGGCGTAGATAAAACAGAACAGAATTGCGATACAATTGCCATTAGCTAGTTGTATCCTCTTATTTTCACAAGACGCTGTGCGACCGCACGCAGCTGTTCAATGCAGTGAACAGAACTGAACCCTCCTAATAGTGATTATGAACTCGCTATTTAAAAAAAACTTGGACTGTTTTTGTAATCATTACCTAATACGGCTAACCGAGTTGGCAGCACAGTAGTGCAGTGGAATGGAGGGCGCTTCACAGTTGCGTGAGGCGATGTTCGCGTCTGGCTGGCGGTAATTTTTGCCGATCGCCCCAATCAGTAATCAGTCTAACTCCTCTTGATTAAAAATTTGGCGCGGTCAACTAGCCCGGCATACGGCTCAGGTGTGCGTGAGCACCGTCAGCGTAGCGTCTTGATCGAAATTCGCGGCAGGTGCGGGTGTTGTTCGATGACGCAGTTGCGATCGAATCACCGCACTCGGAGGAGCCGATGCGGCATTGTCTGGCATCGGTATTGCTCCTCTCGGACCGTACGATGCCAGAAAGGACGCTGTCGGCTCGTAGCGAAGTCCGTCACTCCGAGGAGTCCTGCCCTGGCCCTCGAGCCACGGACGGACGTGGTATTTTTGAAAGTTGGTTGGACAATCGTCCGACAATCGATATTGATTGGTGAATTGGTTTCAGATATCAGCCGATTTTCGCCAGAAAATCGACCATTGGGTCGGAAATCCTATGCAGATGCGCATTTTTTGCAAAAAATTGCGAAAAATGCCATTTTCGCAAAAGTTTCTGCATAACCGGGCTAGAACCCGGGTCACTTTCGTGGAAACGGCTCTTTATCGCTCTGAGCCACTCCTTCACATCTGGCAGGTGTTTGAGCCCTGTGATGAACCTAGCGCACCGCACGCCCTATGGTGAGATAGGAGGCCTCGATTTCGGAGATTTTAATGACCGAATGGTCACCTCGCCCGGCGAGCCACCTTTGCCGGCACATCCACATCCGTCGGACCACAGCGCTGCGACAGCGCGTACGCTCGATGGCTCTGGTGTGTCGTACACGATCGACCGAAGGCGGAGCGGACTTCTGTACTTAATATCGCCCAACTTTAGTGCGGGATTTCAACGGATGGAGCCAGATATACTTGTAGACATTCTTACTGTTACATTTGGTCTGCTCCTTGCGTTTTTTGGCTGATTCGTATTCCATGCGACTGTGGAGCGTACAGAAG